GTAAGACCAGCGAAGCTGTACTATGGTCAGACGACCTCAAGGACGACGTCTAGGACGACCTCAAGGACGACGCTTAGAGGAATTCAGCCTTTCCACTCTGGTGAAGAAGACCAGCGAAGCTGTACTATGGTCAGACGACCTCAAGGACGACGTCTAGGACGACCTCAAGGACGACGCTTAGAGGAATTCAGCCTTTCCACTCTGGTGAAGAAGTAAGACCAGCGAAGCTGTACTATGGTCAGACGACCTCAAGGACGACGTCTAGGACAACCTCAAGGACGACGCTTAGAGGAATTCAGCCTTTCCACTCTGGTGAAGAAGTAAGACCAGCGAAGCTGTACTATGGTCAGACGACCTCAAGGACGACGTCTAGGACGACCTCAAGGACGATGCTTAGAGGAATTCAGCCTTTCCACTCTGGTGAAGTAAGACCAGCGAAGCTGTACTATGGTCAGACGACCTCAAGAACGACGTCTAGGACGACCTCAAGGACGACGCTTAGAGGAATTCAGCCTTTCCACTCTGGTGAAGAAGTAAGACCAGCGAAGCTGTACTATGGTCAGACGACCTCAAGGACGACGTCTACGACGACCTCAAGGACGACGCTTAGAGGAATTCAGCCTTTCCACTCTGGTGAAGTAAGACCAGCGAAGCTGTACTATGGTCAGACGACCTCAAGGACGACGTCTAGGACGACCTCAAGGACGACGCTTAGAGGAATTCAGCCTTTCCACTCTGGTGAAGTAAGACCAGCGAAGCTGTACAATGGTCAGACGACCTCAAGGACGACGTCTAGGACGACCTCAAGGACGACGCTTAGAGGAATTCAGCATTTCCACTCTGGTGAAGTAAGACCAGCGAAGCTGTACTATGGTCAGACGACCTCAAGGACGACGTCTAGGACGACCTCAAGGACGACGCTTAGAGGAATTCAGCCTTTCCACTCTGGTGAAGAAGTAAGACCAGCGAAGCTGTACTATGGTCAGACGACCTCAAGGACGACGTCTAGGACGACCTCAAGGACGACGCTTAGAGGAATTCAGCCTTTCCACTCTGGTGAAGAAGTAAGACCAGCGAAGCTGTACTATGGTCAGACGACCTCAAGGACGACGTCTAGGACGACCTCAAGGACGACGCTTAGAGGAATTCAGCCTTTCCACTCTGGTGAAGAAGTAAGACCAGCGAAGCTGTACTATGGTCAGACGACCTCAAGGACGACGTCTAGGACGACCTGAAGGACGACGCTTAGAGGAATTCAGCCTTTCCACTCTGGTGAAGAAGTAAGACCAGCGAAGCTGTACTATGGTCAGACGACCTCAAGGACGACGTCTAGGACGACCTCAAGGACGACGCTTAGAGGAATTCAGCCTTTCCACTCTGGTGAAGAAGTAAGACCAGCGAAGCTGTACTATGGTCAGACGACCTCAAGGACGACGTCTAGGACGACCTCAAGGACGACATCTAGGACGACCTCAAGGACGACGCTTAGAGGAATTCAGCCTTTCCACTCTGGTGAAGAAGTAAGACCAGCGAAGCTGTACTATGGTCAGACGACCTCAAGGACGACGTCTAGGACGACCTCAAGGACGACGCTTAGAGGAATTCAGCCTTTCCACTCTGGTGAAGAAGTAAGACCAGCGAAGCTGTACTATGGTCAGACGACCTCAAGGACGACGTCTAGGACGACCTCAAGGACGACGCTTAGAGGAATTCAGCCTTTCCACTCTGGTGAAGAAGTAAGACCAGCGAAGCTGTACTATGGTCAGACGACCTCAAGGACGACGTCTAGGACGACCTCAAGGACGACGCTTAGAGGAATTCAGCCTTTCCACTCTGGTGAAGAAGTAAGACCAGCGAAGCTGTACTATGGTCAGACGACCTCAAGGACGACGTCTAGGACGACCTCAAGGACGACGCTTAGAGGAATTCAGCCTTTCCACTCTGGTGAAGAAGTAAGACCAGCGAAGCTGTACTATGGTCAGACGACCTCAAGGACGACGTCTAGGACGACCTCAAGGACGACGCTTAGAGGAATTCAGCCTTTCCACTCTGGTGAAGAAGTAAGACCAGCGAAGCTGTACTATGGTCAGACGACCTCAAGGACGACGTCTAGGACGACCTCAAGGACGACGCTTAGAGGAATTCCGACTTTCCACTCTGGTGAAGAAGTAAGACCAGCGAAGCTGTATATGGTCAGACGACCTCAAGGACGACGTCTAGGACGACCTCAAGGACGACGCTTAGAGGAATTCAGCCTTTCCACTCTGGTGAAGAAGTAAGACCAGCGAAGCTGTACTATGGTCAGACGACCTCAAGGACGACGTCTAGGACGACCTCAAGGACGACGCTTAGAGGAATTCAGCCTTTCCACTCTGGTGAAGAAGTAAGACCAGCGAAGCTGTACTATGGTCAGACGACCTCAAGGACGACGTCAAGGACGTCCTCAAGGACGACGCTTAGAGGAATTCAGCCTTTCCACTCTGGTGAAGAAGACCAGCGAAGCTGTACTATGGTCAGACGACCTCAAGGACGACGTCTTGGACGACCTCAAGGACGACGCTTAGAGGAATTCAGCCTTTCCACTCTGGTGAAGAAGTAAGACCAGCGAAGCTCTACTATGGTCAGACGACCTCAAGGACGACGTCTAGGACGACCTCAAGGACGACGCTTAGAGGAATTCAGCCTTTCCACTCTGGTGAAGAAGTAAGACCAGCGAAGCTGTACTATGGTCAGACGACCTCAAGGACGACGTCTAGGACGACCTCAAGGACGACGCTTAGAGGAATTCAGCCTTTCCACTCTGGTGAAGAAGTAAGACCAGCGAAGCTGTACTATGGTCAGACGACCTCAAGGACGACGTCTAGGACGACCTCAAGGACGACGCTTAGAGGAATTCAGCCTTTCCACTCTGGTGAAGAAGTAAGACCAGCGAAGCTGTACTATGGTCAGACGACCTCAAGGACGACGTCTAGGACAACCTCAAGGACGACGCTTAGAGGAATTCAGCCTTTCCACTCTGGTGAAGAAGTAAGACCAGCGAAGCTGTACTATGGTCAGACGACCTCAAGGACGACGTCTAGGACGACCTCAAGGACGATGCTTAGAGGAATTCAGCCTTTCCACTCTGGTGAAGTAAGACCAGCGAAGCTGTACTATGGTCAGACGACCTCAAGAACGACGTCTAGGACGACCTCAAGGACGACGCTTAGAGGAATTCAGCCTTTCCACTCTGGTGAAGAAGTAAGACCAGCGAAGCTGTACTATGGTCAGACGACCTCAAGGACGACGTCTAGGACGACCTCAAGGACGACGCTTAGAGGAATTCAGCCTTTCCACTCTGGTGAAGTAAGACCAGCGAAGCTGTACTATGGTCAGACGACCTTAAGGACGACGTCTAGGACGACCTCAAGGACGACGCTTAGAGGAATTCAGCCTTTCCACTCTGGTGAAGAAGTAAGACCAGCGAAGCTGTACTATGGTCAGACGACCTCAAGGACGACGTCTAGGACGTCCTCAAGGACGACGCTTAGAGGAATTCAGCCTTTCCACTCTGGTGAAGAAGTAAGACCAGCGAAGCTGTACTATGGTCAGACGACCTCAAGGACGACGTCTAGGACGACCTCAAGGACGACGCTTAGAGGAATTCAGCCTTTCCACTCTGGTGAAGAAGTAAGACCAGCGAAGCTGTACTATGGTCAGACGACCTCAAGGACGACGTCTAGGACGACCTGAAGGACGACGCTTAGAGGAATTCAGCCTTTCCACTCTGGTGAAGAAGTAAGACCAGCGAAGCTGTACTATGGTCAGACGACCTCAAGGACGACGTCTAGGACGACCTCAACGACGACGCTTAGAGGAATTCAGCCTTTCCACTCTGGTGAAGAAGTAAGACCAGCGAAGCTGTACTATGGTCAGACGACCTCAAGGACGACCTCAACGACGACGCTTAGAGGAATTCAGCCTTTCCACTCTGGTGAAGAAGTAAGACCAGCGAAGCTGTACTATGGTCAGACGACCTCAAGGACGACGTCTAGGACGACCTCAAGGACGACGCTTAGAGGAATTCAGCCTTTCCACTCTGGTGAAGAAGTAAGACCAGCGAAGCTGTACTATGGTCAGACGACCTCAAGGACGACATCTAGGACGACCTCAAGGACGACGCTTAGAGGAATTCAGCCTTTCCACTCTGGTGAAGAAGTAAGACCAGCGAAGCTGTACTATGGTCAGACGACCTCAAGGACGACGTCTAGGACGACCTCAAGGACGACGCTTAGAGGAATTCAGCCTTTCCACTCTGGTGAAGAAGTAAGACCAGCGAAGCTGTACTATGGTCAGACGACCTCAAGGACGACGTCTAGGACGTCCTCAAGGACGACGCTTAGAGGAATTCAGCCTTTCCACTCTGGTGAAGAAGTAAGACCAGCGAAGCTGTACTATGGTCAGACGACCTCAAGGACGACGTCTAGGACGACCTGAAGGACGACGCTTAGAGGAATTCAGCCTTTCCACTCTGGTGAAGAAGTAAGACCAGCGAAGCTGTACTATGGTCAGACGACCTCAAGGACGACGTCTAGGACGTCCTCAAGGACGACGCTTAGAGGAATTCAGCCTTCCCACTCTGGTGAAGAAGTAAGACCAGCGAAGCTGTACTATGGTCAGACGACCTCAAGGACGACGTCTAGGACGACCTCAAGGACGACGCTTAGAGGAATTCAGCCTTTCCACTCTGGTGAAGAAGTAAGACCAGCGAAGCTGTACTATGGTCAGACGACCTCAAGGACGACGTCTAGGACGACCTCAAGGACGACGCTTAGAGGAATTCAGCCTTTCCACTCTGGTGAAAACTAGAGTGGAAAGGCTGGAAAGGTTGCCGCCATCTACGAGCGAGGCCGGCAAGCCGATTGTCTGGTTGCCGCCGTCGCTCATAGATGACGGTAGCTGTCTATGAGCGATCCTGGGGAAACTATCCCTTTACAGCTCCGCTGTAAAACAAGTTGGTACGCCACTGTCCACATATCAGGTAAGGGTACTTCACGTTTCGTGTCATAGCCTGCTGACTTCGCATCTGGCCATATAGTGACCTGTGGAAACGATTCAGGCACGACTTAAAGGCTCCTCACACTCACATATGGGGAGACGTCACGTTCCTATCGCTACACATGGTTCTAGGAATGTCCTAGGGATGTTGTAATAAACGTTCTATAGATGTCCAAAGAAGCACCTCCCTTCCGCAGATATCCTATAAACAGGAGCGGGTCATATGAAGACACGCTGCTGAACGTAGCGACACATTGGTCTTGTTGGACGTCGACTTCGGAGCTTGCAGCAAATTTGTTGTGCAGGGTGAGACGAACGAGTTCTCTACTCACTGCCAGGATGAGAACGGCAGGGAGGTTCTTCGGTAGATCTCTCCTACAGAGCGAGCGTCCTACCTTCGAAAACACTCATGAGCTTCGAGTGAGTATGCGCGGAAGGCAGCGAGGAGTACCGGAAGATGAGAATTTGAATGAGACGCCCTGCGCTTCCTGTCCTATCAGTGAATATACGATTAATATGGCTAAACAAATCACCCAAAAGCCCGCGGTATGCATTGAGCGCTCTCCCCTTATAATAACTTTCTTCTGGCCGCTATTATCTTTCTACGCCCTTACCTTTTAAATTATACAATTTTCCTTCCCCCTGAATGATGAGGGCCACCCCCGTGTAACCATTCGGAACTTAAGAGGAGGCGACACCACCAAGCGGAAAAGACGCGAAGGAGAAAAGCGGGCAGCTGTACCGGCTATCCAAGCGTGCTGCGAAAGCTGCCCGTGGCTTGGCGGTCGAAGTGTGAACCAGAAGGGGGTTCGAATGAAAACCGTCCAAATTGCAAAGCTGTTTTTTTTTGTGTTTTTTTTTTATGAAAATATGCGAGTAAGGTTACCATACCGGGCGCGTCGCTCATGTAGTTCTGAAGCCGACGTCCTATATAAAGCTTTGTGCATACGGAACTTACGGGAGAGTCACTATATGTGAACCGAGGCGACTTCCTTTACAATTGAGGCAGCTTACCTTCTCCAGCTGCCCCACCCTAGACTTTTCACTTGACGACGTCGACAGTGCGTGACTTCTTTCAATGGACGATGCCAGGCTCTTAACTTGCTTGCTGATGAACTTGATGATCTGCGAGGTGAGGCGACAACCTACACGTTGATTAAAAAAAAACAAAAACAAATATCCTAGCCATCTATATGAAACAAACTGAAAAAAGACGCATAAAGAGTGTTGTTAGATATAAAGCACTGTCGTACACAAAGTCTTGCCAAGCATGAAATCTTGTTGGACAATTAATAAATTTTTTTTTTGAAATTTAATAAAACTGTGCTTCTTTCTCAGCTTAAAAAAAAGAACAGAGCTGAGTTCGGTCCCACTCCTTTAACTTTTTACTGGTGTCCACGTCATAGTAAGTGGCGAAAAAGGAATGGTTACTCTTTTCTCATAAAACTTCGAGAAGCGACCGCGACGCGGCGCTTCGCGAAAGCTCACCGGTGACATCGTGTACATACAATTTTATATCGGGCAAGATTGGCCATGTGACAGATGATGTAACACGAAGCCGCGGCGACTGTGTTCTTGGGAACTGGCCCAGCAGCCATTGATGTTGGTATGCAACTATACGAAGCAAATATCTGACGAGCGATCGACGAGATTCATGCGGTGTCAACAGCCACTGTTCCGACGCCACGGGCAGAGCGAACGCCACTAGACGAAAATAGTCACTTGTTCGCAGAATCTTCGCTCCATACAGAATCCAACATCCACCAGAGGTCGGCATTTTATATCACCCTGATTCACCCTCATCCTCACGCCGCACTCACCTAAGCCTCTCGCTCACCCTCGCCCTCACAGCTACACTCACTTTCAGCCCTCACTCACCCTCATCCTTACAGTCGCACTCACCTTCAGCCCGTCCCTCATCCTCACTGAACCTCATGGCCTTCACGCCCCTCATGCACTCACCGCCCTCACGCACTCACGGCCCTCACACCCCTCACGCACTCACCGCCTTCACGGCCCTCGCAGCCCTCACGCACTCATACCCCTCACGCACCTCATGCCCTTCACGCACTCACCGCACTTACGACTCTCACGCACTCATACCCCTTACGCACTCACGGACCTCACGGCCCTCGACCCCCTATCACCTCTCACGCACTCCCCGCCCTCACGGACTCATACCCCCAACACACTCACGGTCCTCACAGCGCTCACAGCCCTCAGGCCCCTCACGCGCTCACCGCCCTCGCGGTCTTCCCGCACTCATACCCCTCACGCACTCATACCCTTCATGCACTCATGGTACTCACAGCCCTTACGGCCCTCACACCCCTCACGGTCCTCACTCACCTTCACACTCACGAATTTTCTAGGTTCAGAAACTCACTCACCCTCACCTCACCTGCGAAGATGAAGGTGAGTGAGGGCCCTTATAAGTGAGATTTGCCGAGGTATGATATTCACACAAATGAGACACTTATTTGACATACTCACGGCCTCCTTAGCTCACAGACCGCCCTTACACAGATGACCAGGAATTAGTGGTGCCCAAATAGTGGTTAAAAACGAATAGCACTCCAGCTTTCCTGCTGTCACGCTCTCTCACGCTCCCAACGGATATCGACGTTGGATGTTCCACAGAACAACGTGACAAGGGCCATCTCTACAAAAACCCAGACACTACGACGCAGCGCCTCACTTGGCGACAGCAGCGGCAGCGAACAGATCAAACTGCAATGTAGCGTACGACCATAACCGCAGGTTCGTTGGTCGGCAAGTCAGTTATCAACGGGTTGTCCGAGATCGACCAGGAAGAGCGCCGTCATCCAGACAACCTTCCTGCTGTCCAGTGCTTTTCTGCTCATCTCTCTGATGCTGCCAACGAAATTGGACGCTGGTTGGTCCGCGGAACAACGTGACAAGAGCCATCAAAAACCCAAATGCTACGGCGCAGAGCTCCAGTTGGCGACCGCAGCGGCTGCGAGCAGATCGAGCTGCAACCGAACGTACGACTATAATCGCAGGTTAGGGCTAGTTCTTTTTTTTTTTGTGAGAATAAACTTGCTATTACACTGCTGCTGCTGTTCTTACTACCATTGGTATCTAGCATCAGTTACTTGATACTCTCCTTCACCGTGCCAGCAATAGTAAGACTACCATGAGCTAACCAACCGGGGAAGGGGGGGGGGGGGGGGGCGCTTGCCTCCCCAGTTTTCAGACTGGCGGGCAAGGCATGTATTTTGCCCCCCCCCCCCCCTTCCTGAAACAGCCACCACTGGGCAGGGCAAACACTAGACGTTGGCGCACAAGGGATGCCAACGGGGAAGGTCTGGTTATCCCCTCCCCTCCCCCCCTACTCAAAAGCAAGTTGGTACGCCACTGATGAATAAGGATTTTGGAAAACCTCGTGATGATTTTCGACTTACCGTCGCAAATCATCACCAGCTATTTTTTTTTTCGAAGTGTTAATATTTGTAGTGTAATTCCTATGGACACGAAGGCCCTCAGGAAGCAAATCTAGGACTGAAGAAAATGCAACCAAAACCTGAGAATAAAAATCCGAGTGGAAGAGCTCCAACAATGCCAAAGAGAAAACACCTTAGAGGTCAAAGGTGTACCACCCGAAGGTATGACGTTGCAGCAAAGATCGGAGAGTTTGTCGGTGAACTTGTCATGACGGCAGATATTGACATCTGTCACCGTGTGCTCACACAAAAACCTTCAGAAGAGAACATTATCGTTCGCTTCATTCAACGTAGCAAAGAAAATGCTATCTTAGAAAAGTCGAGAAAAAAAAGGGTGACCACTGCATTATTTTTGGTACATGGAATTGATAAACACGTTTTTTGTAAATGAACACTTGATGCGACGACTAAATGAGCAACTTCTGGACACAATTGCCCGGAAAATTGTGGTGAGGTGGAAGCATGTGTGGACGGCAGGCGGAAAAGTGATAACGCGAAAAAACGACTCGTCATCATCTTTTAGAATTTCTTGCCTTGATTACGTGAAAAAGATGACTGCATAATTGCATAATTGACATCTTCGATTTTGCTGAAGCCTCCACTCCCTCTCTCCCTCATACAGCATTGTGTCAAGGGTGAACCCCCCCCCCCCCCCCCCCTCCCCAAATCAAAATCCTAGCTATGTGTCTGCTTTGGGGAATGGATCGGAGGGTCCTGGAGCTTGCGGGGGGACGTGCGCGCGGATGTGGACGGGCTTAATGGAAGTGTTCTCATCTCGCATCACGCAGCCTCGCCAGCCTCCCAGTACCACAACCAGGGGTCCAGCCAGGCTCCTTAGGCAGCGACGACTCGGACTAAGAGTTGTTTTAAAATAAAGTATTGCTCTCTCTCTCATGTGCTGCTTCGTTTCCTGGAATTCCTTGGTGAGCGGGGACCCAGTGGATGCCGAATTGGGTGTTGTTTTACGTTTGTAACCTGGTGACCGCCCAGTATAGATCTAGTCCATACTGTGGGGCTGCAGGTTTGTCGCTGACGTCCAACGCCTCGGTGCTGTGTAGCCCAAGTAGGATGGCGTGGAGCTCCGCTATCTCGGCAGAGACCCCACTTTTCTCTGCCAGTCAGGGCAGGAATAAGTTAGCCAGCGGTGATTTGTGAGAATGCCACGATTCATGTCGTCTCTCTTTACAGTGTTGAAGCTAGGAACTACACTGCTATTTGATTTGAACCACTCCTTGCCACCCTTGGTTTTCCACCATTTCCCACTTCCCTCGCATCTGAGGGTCTCTCCCCCGCTGCGCGTGCCAGACTCACTGTGGCTCCCATCCCCCGTCATGTGAATCCTACCCGCCACTCGGCTCGGGCGGCCATCGCTCGCGCTACCTTCGACGCGCGTATCCGGTAGGTTGCGATACCGTTCGTGCCCTCTTTACGGACCCCAGCCCACAGGGTGTGCGCGGGGGTATTACGGTCGTCGTGGACTCTGATCTCAGGACAGTCCACGCGGCCACTGAGCGTGGTCTTACCGACGTGTCCATCCTGGAAGAACGAGCGCTCGCCAGGGCAATCCTTTCTACCTCCTTCTCTCCTCCTACATTCCCATTCACATTCTCACTGATTCTCAGACGGCCTGTCGGCACTTCCTATTAACACCTTACGTCCTTCCACTGCATCTTTACTCAACCCGTTCCTATCCTCTACCTCCCACAATTTCCGGCTGGTATGTGTGCCTGGGCACGCAGCTGTCCCCGGTAATGAGCACGCTCATGCGCTCGCCCGAGACCTCTCACACCGGGTGCCTGGGGAAGACTTCGTCAGCATCCAGCCAGCCCCTTACTCCTACAGCACTCACCTTGCAGAGCTACGCCTCGCTCGGCAACATTATCCTCCTCCTCCCTTTTCCCTTACTCGCAGAGACGCCGTCCTGTGGCGACAACTGCAAACTAACACTTTCCCGACCTCCCTCTTATACTCTTAACTCCACCCGTCACTCAGCCCGCCTCAGTGCCCGCACTGCGGCGACCGTCCCAACCTTTTTTACGTGGTCTGGCAGTGCCAGCCCCTAATTCCCGCCGTCCCACCCAATCCCAATGCCACCCCCACCTCCCGGGAGGAGCGGCTGACCGATGACACGGCCACTGGCCAGCAATCGCTGGTGGACCACGCCAAGGCGGTCGCCGCCACGTATGGGGCCCCGAACTAGGGGCTCCACCCGAGAGTTTGTCACACGTCGCTACAATAAAAGTTTATTCACTCACTTAACTATCGCACACTTCTACAAGGATTCAAACCCTGGTCATAAAGCAATGGCTCACTTACACTCCAACGTGGTGTGCAGCGAACGCAACGTAGCGCATGCACCACTTCGCGCCTTTTATTGATATATACGAGCGTAGTCTCGAGATCTGCGACTAATTAACATTTGCGAGCACTGCGACGGCGTAGCGCTTGCACGGGCCCGCGCTACGTCGGACAGTGCAAACCTTTAAAGAATATGCAAAGCTCGTATATTTTATATTGTTTACCTAGCACAAGAGAGAAAAGACGCGCCAGCTTCTCTCGAAATACCGCGATTCCGCTGCGTACTTGCAAAAAAAGAAGAAACAAATTATTGATTATGATGTAGAAAACCCGAGACTGTGGTAAAAGCAGAAAAACTTGGTCGAAGAAAAAAGACAGGGGAAAAGAACGTTCTTTTCCCCCCTCTTCGCACTCACTGTTTTAGAGCGCAGCTCTTAGGGGCCCGTTTCCGGCTTGAGCGGCGTCGCCGTCGGCGTAACCGCGAGGTCACGTGACAACCCCTCCCATCCAGGTCACGTGACCCCTACCCCACGGTCACCTGACCGCTCCCACGGTCACGTAACCCCTCCCTCCCAGGGTCACGTTACCCCACCTCCGAGGTCACGTGACCCCTTCCTCCCGAGGTCAGGTAACCCCCCCCCCCCCCGGAGGCGACTGATGAATGAGGGGAGGAGGAGGAGAAGGAGGTGGAGGAGGGGTCTACCCTCCCCTCAATACTCTTCCCTCCTCCTCCTCAAGAGCTGCGCTCTAATTCGGCGTTCCAGGGAGTTGTAAACGGGTTTGACTTTTTTTCAAACTAATTATTATTTTTTCTATTTGCAGCCGCATGTGGTGATTATCGGAACCACGATGTTACGTCATTGGGAGTACAGACGTTTTCGTTACGCCGTCTATCGGACGTCAAAAGAACTATTTGCTGGGCCGATTGGAGCGTGACAAGTATCACGTGACGAGGCCAGGTATAATCTTCGCTTTGCTTTGATTGTCAACTTTAGGGCTTAGCAGCAGAAACTGTTCGCTAAGTGTATTTTGCCTTTGCTATGATGCAAAACATGTGTAGGACGAAACCCCGAAACAAATCCAAATACGCCAAGTGAAGCGATCGGGAGTTGTGTGTAAGTTACGATAGAATCCTGCGATGAACCTTCATAATCGTGGCCGCCAACACCACTCGGACACTTCGCCGTTGAGACCAACAAGCATACATGCTCTTCGCGCGCTTCCCGACTTCCAAGCAGCAAACAAATGGAAACACGTACCGCTCGATTCACGGCTTTCGGAAACAACGACAACAATCCCAACGACTTCAGCGGCCGCTGAAGTCGGCGGGAAGGTCTAGCAAGGTGGGTCGGAAGACGTAGCAAGGCGCTCGTCGCGATCCTTTTTTTTTTTTAGGTGGATTTATTTTGTGTGAATAGTTTGAACTTTGTCCAAGGTCTTCCGGTTAGAGGTGATTCTTATCTCTTCGTCGTCGTCCGATTTTGTTATTTTCGGAGTGTTGTCCGGTGGTGGCGGATGCACTCGTGGTAGTGACAACTCGTTAATTTGACGTCATTCGCTAAGTGCGCTGGGATCGGCCACCACGGTCGCCATCTTCGAGGTCTCTTTCGATCCCCCCTATGTGTCAGGTGCCGTCTGGTCGGACCTTTCAGAGTGCTTTAGCAGCATTTTACAACTTTAAAGGGTCTTTTTGACCGAAACTAGGGGTTATTCTTAGACTTTGGTGGTTTTGAAGCGGCGCAGTAATATTTTTTGTGCGTGTTCATTTGGTTAGTTTTGTCGCCATTGGACTTGTCCACCGCGGCCGCGTTGCCCCCTCGGCCCCACACAGCGCTCCCTGTCGCGCGCCGTGCCCGCACGGCGGTAGCTCTTTTGCAAGAACTGTGATTTTTCTACTTTGGTGTTTTTGTAGCACGATGTGATTACTCTGTTTTGTTTTGCTAGTTTTCTTATTATTTTTCTCTAGCGTATTTTCTGCACTACGGCCGTGTAACCGTGTTGCTCCATCGCCTCCGAGTCGTGCCTTCGGTGTTCGTTCCTGCACAGCAACATACCGTGCGGCTCACCGAGTGCGCAGCTAATGGAAAATGCGCCGCATTTTTCATTAGCCCAAGTGATTTAAAACTGCATGTAAGCGATTTGGCGAGCGACGAGACAAGCGACAGCGACCCGTTTCACTGCCGCTCGGTCACTCGCGCGACGAGGCAATACGCCTGAAAGCGACGGGAGCAAACGACCAAGGCGATGAACGCTAAGTTTTCTAGAAATCCAAAAACCGAGCTACGCGACCAGCGACAGTGAAGGGTGAACCGCATGTAACCGATTTAGCGAGCGACGGCGACAGGGACGGAGATATCTCACGGTCGTTCGTCGCGTCGCTCGGTTTTTGGATTTCTAGACATCGTCGCTCATCGCCTTGGTTGCTTGCTCCCGTCGCTTTTATGGGGTTTGCCTCGTGGCGCGAGTGACCGAGCAACAGCGAAGCGGGGTCGTCGTCGCTTGTCTCGTCGCTCAGCCTTTACACACGGTACTCGGCGGCAACAAGGAAATTAAAACGGCCCGCCCCCGAGATAAACTGTTTTCTCTCTTCTGTTCAACGAAGCTTCTTCAACGATATAAAATTAGCACACACTACCATCGGACAACCACGTACCCAAGCCAGTCAAACCACGACCTCGAAAATAGCGGATCGTCAGTGGCGCTCCCAGGAAAAATCGAACATGCAGGCTCAGTGAATACCACCTATTCGCTGCTTTCTTTGATGTAAAAGTAAAACTCAAATAAGCACGGTGTGGATTACCCTTGCATCATATATGGTACGTACACTATATTTTTCGTGTGTCTCTCTGAAACCACTTAAGCAAACTGAAAAAAAAAAAAAAAAAAACGGCGAAAGGGATGTTAAGTTTAACGCATGCTTGGCCATCCCCGCGATCGGTTTCTACTTTATCTGACTGCCTGTTTCCGACAGGCCAAAAAAAAAAAAACGTTTTGCAAATTATGCCATAAATCTACCTGTCATGTAATTCTACCTGTTTGATGACTTGACAAGCCTCCGAAGCCACGACGACAACTGATTTGGTCGTGGTCAGTACAACACGACACCGGGTTCTGCTGCGTGGGTCGCGACGTCACTGTTGTTGCGCTGCTTGAGCTTAAACGAGCACTGTTGCGAAAGAATCATGACACGCGTAACCCCCAACTCTCGTTCAAATAAACGAATCAAACATGAATTGTGAGCGCTACATCTCAACCTACCAACGAAGCCCAGAGGCGGTCACGGGAGTATTCTAGTACACCACAACTACGTTAAGACAAGAAGCCGCCAGGGGGCACCACTCTATCGTCTCGGGGCTAATGGCGTCAACAAAACCAAGGTAGGGCGAGGGAAAGACGGGCCGGGGAGGAGGTTTAATCTCGCCCTACCTTCTTGAGTTTCAACGAACTATAGTTTTCCCGTGACCAAGCGTCTTTTGTCTCGATCACTCGCCGCGACCATGCTAAGCGGTTGATGTGGTCTACTGCACGGAAATTTAAATGCGATACTCCCAGTGGCGTCACTGCACATCTCATTTGAAAGACGGTGTGAGTTGAGGGCAGTGTTGTACGGAACGATGTCCCAAAGGAACGACGTTCCCGGAACGGGTTCCTTTGAGGCGGAACGGAGGAACTCCGCCGTTCCATCTTGAATCGGTGGAACTGGAACGTGAACTCGTTACGTTTTCAAGGAAGCAACGACAGAAAGCACTTATTTTATAGAGCGCAGCTTTTATGTGCCCGTTTCCGTGTATAGCGGTGTCGCTGTCGGCGTAACCACCCCGCTAATTTAGCGGGAAATTGAGTTGGTGTTGAGGTCACGTGGCGTCACTTTTTCAGCTAAATTTAGCGGGCAAACAGTGGAGGAGGGGAAGGTACGGAGGAGGAGGAGGGACATACGCTCCCTCCGTACCCTCCACTCCTCCTCGTCAAGAACTGCGCTCTAATTTCGGATTACAGAGATCTGTAAACGTCTTTCATTTATATATATATAGAGAGAGAGAAAGAGAGAGAGAGAGAGAGAGAGAGAGATAAGCGATGGAGAAGCGTCCGCGAGATAGTCAAAAACAAAGACCTGGAACAAACGTGATAGTGGCGATTCAACACGTATATAGATGGGGGGGGGGGGGGGGGGGTAATTTTACTCGCTTGCTCGCTTCATTTTATCTACGGATTATCCAGCATAATTTTTCACGAAAATACGGAAGTGTAACGTTAACGCAACGACACGTTGCAAACTTAGAAATGTGACAAAAAAGCGAATTCCTTTCGAACGTCCGGAACTTGTAACAGGTACTCGTTCCAAGATTGAGAAGGAACGAGGAACGAGCTTTCGTTCCTGTTTTGGAGGGACGTGTACGACACTAGTTGAGGTGTACCCCGACCTTCAGTGCATTTCTCTTTTACATATAAAAACTTGCGCAAGCAAAAAAAAAAAAAAGTTTCTGTTATTATTATGCACATTAATACATTCTTTACAGTCAAGCATCATGAAGCGTTTGCGCATGAGCAGTGCCGACAACAGAGTCACCCTGGTGGCGTGACGTCGGGGAGCCGAGTTCTCACAACTAATCGGCCGACATCCAAACATCCTTTAGCGCCTCTTCAAAACGCAGACGCGCCAGCGACGTGCGCGCAAACGCAAATGCAAAAAAAATAAAAAAATTTATATATATATATATATATATATATATATATATATATATATATAAAATAAAAAAAAAATAAATGACGCTGCCACTTACTGGTACGGCGGTGGGGGGCTTGCCGAGGGAGTTTGTCCATCGCTTCTGCAGCACGTCCGCCAAGGGAATGGACGCCAGACCGGGGCTCATGCTGTCGACCCAGCGGATGCACCAGTACTCGCGGAGGCGCTCATTCGTGCCGGCCGGAAGTACCAGGGTCGGCATAACTCTGGCGCCCAGGTCCATCTTCAAGACGTACGCGAAGACTGCTCTACATTGAGAGGCGCGAGGCGCAAAGGACGCAGCCATGAGCAAACATAACCAAAGTGCCACTAAAACGTCAACAGGCGAAGCCGCTCAAGTTAAGTCAAAAGTAATGCGAACAAACAGGAGACAATTGTTTTAATGTGAGCCCATGGAGCGAAGTCAGCGCTGTCTGTAACCGTCTGTAGCAAAAGAAAAACGGCACCTAAATTCTTATTTCCAATAAAACACAAAGAAAAGCCCAACAACGCAGATGCTTCGTCACTGAAGCCGGCGGGTGCGCTCAAGGTCAAAGCGGACACGCTTCATAAATAAAACACAAAGAAAAGCATAGCAGCGCAGTGCTTTGTCGCGGAAGCCTTCTTGAAACCGGCAGGGTTCGCCGCGCCTGCGGAGTGGGTGTCCGTGGTGTCACCGCCGGAGCGCCGTGGGCAAAAGGAAGACGTGGCACGCTGCGTGTAGGAATGCCTTCGCATTCCTACACTTAAGCAGTCTTGTCGAATCTTTGCGTGGCTTATCATGTTCGTTTCTCTTGCTTCGTGATTCGTTTCACGACCTTCTTATCGGCTAAAGCCTTAATTTCGTTCGCTGATGAGCGATGATACCTACAGAAACATGGCGAACACCATGATGGTGAGCTTCTGACACTATCTGGAGAATCCCATCAGCTCCTTAGTGTGGGCTGCGTCTTTAAGGGGAGCTGAGGAGGTTATTGAAGAAAAAAACGAGTTAGAGGTGAATTTTAGAGTGTTTTTAAGCCGTAATACTGACTATCACGTTCGTTTTCCCCGAAGATATAACTACACGCGAGAAAACACGAAAACCTCCGTCCAGTCGTTACGTCATAAAAGGATCTTTGGGCCGCCAAGCTCGTGTCGCTCGCGTGGGCAGCGCGTGCAAATGCAAGCTTGCCAGGTATATTCTCCCGCACTGACGTGTTGAGGGCATCAATAAAAAAACGCGAACAACAACAATCCCCCGCACTGACACCAGTCCTGGCGTCTTTTTTTTTTTCCCCTTTTTGTTTGCAAAGCTGTGCGCATGCACAACTTTGATAGGCGCTGAAGATGCGCGAGAACTTTTTCTTATGACGTAACGCTCCAGGAAGGGGGGGCTTCAGCGGCACTTTGAATGTTATTTTCTGTAACCTCCGTACACGAATCTGAAAAATTATCTCGATATTTGTAATCCTAGAGGCCAAATGAAGATGATTTAAGTGTTTGTTACTCAAATACTAAACCGCTTTAGCTTCTCTTTAAGGCGAAACAAACTATATATGTACCCAACAACCGTGTGAATACAACTCGACCGTGTGAATACAGCCATGAGGTTTCCGCCCGATACAAACGGCTCACTGAAACGGCTGCACCAGTAGTGCTTCGTGCGTGCAGCGTAAAATGAAAGAAGCAAGCGCGTGGCGGGGGAATCTAATTCGATCGTGACGTCGCAGTCGAGCTCGGCTCTCGTTTTCTATGACCCTCAGCACGCGCGTAGGTTTAGAAGGTTTCCGCTAACTTCTCCGCGCTTTTACGGAGATTTGTTACGTTAGAAACGGGAGAAAAGAAAACGATATATATGTATGTATATAAAAAGGTGTTACTACATTAAGCCCTTCAAAACCCAAAAACAAGCACTTAAAAAAACTCGTAGTTAATAATATACTTTAATTTACTAATTTTCATTACTACTTGATACTTGTTCTGACGAAATGAAATGACAACATCGTTAATTACTTCGTTGCCGATAAAAGTTGCGAGTTACGGGTAACAGATTTTTACTTCAAGCGCTTTAATTACGTCTCTGGTCAGTGCTTCTGGAAAGATGCCGTCAACAAATATGGCTCGCTGACTGCGAGCTGAAACAGCATTGCACGGACGCTATAAAGGCAATTGCTGCCCTACTTAATTACTATCGAAAGTTTTAAAGCCATTGACCTGCCAAAACGCAGGATCGTGTTATTGCCGGCTTTCTTTTATCCCAATGAAAACATAACCGGGCTTTCAACACGTTATATATTTTCCTATGGATCTAATATTGAGAGCAAACGTCGTGAATGTGATAAAAAATAATTGAATAATCTAATATTTGCCAGACCGTCACACCTATTCATTCAAAACATTTGCCTATAAAAGCAAAACCTTAGAAAGTTACCAGTGTGTCTCGGCTCGTTGAGCAATAAGCGAATGGTTTGCTTGATTTTTATTTTTAATGAGCGAGGCCTCTTTTTTTATTTTTTTTTCGTTTGAACAAGCTCATGTGACAATATTGATGATTATTACGTCACACGTGTGATCTAAGATCTGCAGCACTTCCGTTAGCCCCATTCCGAATAACCCTTTTAATTGCACGAGTGCTGTACTAGGAATATCTTGAAACGAAAACAGTCGCGATCGCGAACACATATTGCCGGTGTGTATACCGTGGGCCATGAATCTATACGTTTTCTAAATAAATTTTGGGAATGAGTTTTATATGACAAGCCTCTAAAGCTCCGAAAAGACGCGGCTCGGTAGTGCATTTGTTTAGTGGAAATTAAAAAAAAATGCTTGCTTCAATAAAACGTTAAAAAAAATAGCTTGAGATTTCTATTGGAGCGATACTGAGGAGATATGTTTATGTAAAAGGGCGGGGGAAAAATCTTGTAGGTTATTGTCGTATTTATAGGACAAAACAAGAAACGAGACTATACCTGGGCGAATTTTCTTTCCTTCGTAATTTCTACTCGTTAAAATCAAACGCCACGATGACTTTCAACAACGCAATTTTTTTTTTTAATTTTATGTATACGTGAATATATGTATCAGAATAAATCCTAATCAATCTATAGAATAGATTAAAATATTTTTTGTAACCGAATGGAGGTGAATTTGCTAGCTATAGTCGGAGACAGGTCAAGAAGAAAGTGGAAGCTCCTCCCACCCCTTTCCACGTCAGCGGCGAACAGTGGAGAGGAGGTCGCCTCCTCGCCAGCGTTCGCGCTACTAAAGTGGAAAGAGGTGGGAGGAGCTTCCACCTCCTTCTTGACCTGTCTCCGACTACATATATTCGCACTATCGCGGTAAATTACAGTGCCCTAGCAAACAAAGGTGATTTTTGCGAATCATTTTGAGCGAGTTCGGTTCATTTGGATCTCGTTATGCGGCCACTTTGTCAGATATAGGGCCATCTTACTGCTTACATGTTGACTCTCTTCTCGTCGATCTCTTTTTTTAAAAACAAAGGAAATTCTCGGATCCATGTCGGGCTCATCACGATGTAACGCTTGACCTTGATTGGATGGGTCACGGCATCAATGAATTTTCTCCAATTTAGCTGCGACCAAGAAAGGAACACACACACACCTCAGTACGTGCATCAATTACATTACGCAAGAATAGAACATGCTTTGTTTCAGCACAAGTATAAGTTCAGCCATCGGGTGTGTAGACGTGAAGTAGAGCAATTATCAATTGAACCCACCTGTACGCTAAAGCCCCTTGATGCAGGTGTTTTTTACAAGTACCGCCAACCATTGTTGTGGAACCGCGCGAGACACGTGCCACGAGCGGGTGCTCCGCCGCCATTCGCTTCCTAGGGCCGCTCATTTCAGTGCTGCGCCGCCATTCGCTTCCAAGGGCCGCTCGAGACCCGGGTCTCGTGCACTCGCGCATTTGACGCTACTTGCACGACAAACGCAAACCGATCGAGGGGCTTTACTGTACGCATACCATTACTGCCCTCCTCAGCCCTCGGTACGCATTGGAAATAAATACGATATTTGAAACGAATGGCTTCCAAGATTTATCGCCAAACCAAACAAGAATAAAAAGATAAGTGTGTTTTAACACATATCGTTACCGCATTACCGCCTATAACAAGTATTCACTGGACGCCATATTCGTGGGTGCTGTCTAGAGCGCATGCTCAGAACGAGCCCACGTTAATAGGTAGCTAAGACCGGCAATCTTGATGGTGCGGAATGCATGTTCCAAAAGAGCTGTGAAAGCTCGCCATCAGCACGCGCTCAGCAGTCGCGCACACAACTATGGCCGCCAGTGAATGGAACCGGGAGCTCGCACTGTTAAGGCCGGTTCAGACACTTGCGTTATAATGCGTTTGACAGCGTTGCGTCGAGAACCGAAAGCGAGTCACTGGCACATCTGTGCTTCATACGGAGCGTGGAATCCAATTCAAGGAATCATCTTGGCACGGGATATAAGCAGCAGGGATGTCCTGGTTTCTTGCTGCTGCAACGCAGTCAGACCAATATTACCTAGAAGACAAGGCCTGCGCATGACGTTTTGTTAGTAGATCCTCGACCCGCCCCAAGCGGCAAACACACCGAAGCTTGTCGAGAGTATATATGGGCGGCTTCAGAACTACGGCTGTGTTCCAAATCTTACCCAAATGGATCCGAGTTACTCCGACGGGTCGTGTCACGTGACAACACAGATATTGAAAAACGCTGGACGCGGGTAGGTTTTAGAACGCCAAGGTATAAACAGCTTATCCTGGCGTAAGATCGAGTAAACTTTGGAACACGGCCAACTACGTCGCATTCACTTGCGGCCACAGCTGCGTGCGCGACTGCTGAGCGCGAGCTGATATAGAGCTTCCAGTTCATTTGTAAGGTGCATGCGAACACTCCCTCGGCCAGGAGCGCCGGCTAGCACGCGCTCCTGGCTTTGAGACGAGCATTTGTAGAGCGCGCGCTCGTTCTGCCGAAGAACACTTCAAAACAGCAACCTTGAGCTCTCGTGCTTGTGGCATTGGCTGCGTTCTCTGCTTAGAAATGAACAGAGTATAAACAGCGCCCCCAAAAATGGCGTCCAGTGCCAGCGTCCAGCGCCCAGCGAAGGGCTTTGCAGCACTTCGCACACCAGTAAGGCATTTTCACTCATGCATTTGACGCTCCACGTGAACTTCTAACTTCATCGTATGGTATAGAAAGAGACACTCGGTACGAGCATCTGTTTTATTATCTGCTACACAAACCACTGAAGCAGTCAATGTAGCAGACGATGTTGCAGACGATGTAGCAGACGATGTTGCTCATCCGGGCTAGCTAGCGGGTGCTGAGGGGATCTACTAGTGATGACGTTTAGAGGAGGAAACGCGCACGCATTGCGTTCTAGGTTGTATTGGTCAGACGCAGTCAAACGCAACTGTCTGAAACAGGTGTTAGCGCCGTCCTCGAAGACGACGAAGAGTACCCCAAGAGCGCTCCACGATCCGCGTGACTTTGAGTTCTTTTCTCGGTAACCATACCTGCCTGACGTATATTAAACGTCCTTTCTTAACCTTCTCTCGCACCCCCCCCCCCCCCCCCCCCCCCCCCCGTCTTCAATGTCGAGACCGTAACATTTTCACCCCGTGATTTACGTAAGTCGCCAAACGTCAGAGGCTGAGGGACGTTATCATTCATAATTTCATACGAGCTGGAAGCACTCGCCGTGGTGTGGACGTTGGAACGACTCAGGACTTATCTTCTTGGAATCGATTTCAACGTTGTCACGGACTGCAGCGCCCTAAGGGGAACGATGAGCAAACGTGAACTCATACCCCGAGTGGCACGCTGGTGGTTGGGGTTGCAAGAATTCACCTTCACGGTTATTCACAGAGATTCAGCGTCTATGCAGCATGTTGATGCGTTGAGTAGGTCTCCGACTGGACCAGCGGAAGAAATGGAGGCGTGCGAAGGACTCCATATCTACGCTACAGCGATGGAAGAAACGGATGACTGGTTAGTTGCCGCGCAACTACTGGACGCCGATGTGAAACACATCAAAGAGGTTCTGGAGAAACCTGCGTTCTCGGCCGAGGAGTGCCGTATCCACTCCGAGTATAAACTCCAGAGGAATGTTGTCTTCCGAAACATGGAAACTCATCAAGGCTACTGTGGCTTGTCCCGAAACCACTGCGTTGGCAGGTAGTGCGACGTGCCCATGATGATCGGGGGCATGTGGGGACGGAAGAGACGATCAAACGGATCCAGGAGAAATACTGGTTCGCAGGAATGAAGCGCTATGTACGGAGATACGTCGCGTCATGCGCAGAGTGCCTCTATAATAAGACGCCAAGAGGAAAGAAACCTGGCATGCTTCATTCCATCGACAAGATCGGTGTTCCGTTCCACACACTCCACCTGGAGCACTTGGGACCGTTTCCAACATTCAGACACGGGAATACGTACCTGATTGTAGCTGTGGACGGGCTCACAAAGTTTGTGATACTCACACATGTTAAGAACACAGGAGGCCAAGCGACTACGCGATGCCTGCGACACATCGTTGGACTTTTTGGACCGCCGACGCGAGTAATCACGGACCGAGGAGTGGCGTACACTAGCACGACATTCAAGAAGTACTCTGAAAACTCTGGCATCATTCACATTTTGACTTCAACAGCCACACCGCGTGCGAATGGTCAGGTCGAGCGTTTCAACAGGACGATCACTCCAGCGATTGCCACTTTGACGAAGGACAAAGGTGAGAAGATCTGGGATGAGGTTGCTGACCTTGTTGATTGGAGCCTGAACAACACGTACCACAAAGCGTTAGACAGCACACCGTTCAGATTGTTGCTCAACTTCGAGTGAAGAAGCTTGAATGGCGATCACCTCGATGACGCTTTGCGCGACCTGTCTACTAAAACTAGCGAAGAGATGTCAAATAGAAGGAAGGCAGCTATCCAAGCCATCCGACTTGATCAAGAGAGGCAGACGCGTCGCTACAACCAGAAGCGACGACATGCTCTAACGTTTGAACCGGGAGATATCGTTGTGGTTCAGCGAGAACCGACGTCGATAGGAGAATCGCGCAAGTTGCAGGAGAAAACGTGGTCACGAAGCGACTTCCAAACGATACTTATCGCATCGAGGACATAACTGGCCACCAGCGGGCTCGACGTTTCTCACTTCAACAGCTCCCGTCGATAAGCTAAAACGACTCAACACATTCAATGTGGAGAGTGAAGAAAGTTGTGAAGAAACATCAAGTGGGGGCACTTGATTGCTAGGATGGCCGAATGTTAGCGACGTCCTCGAAGACAACGAAAAGTACCCCAAGAGCGCTCCAAGATCCGCGTGACTTGAGTTCTTTTCTCGGTAGCCATACCTGCCCTGACGTATATTAAACGTCCTTTCCTAACCTTCTCTCCCCCCCCCCCCCCCCCCCCCCCCCCGTCTTCAATGTCGAGACCGTAACACAGGCTTTACTCCGCTCTTCAGCGCGCGAGCGTTGCCGTGGCCGCGTTAACCTGCGATAACGCTGTACTAAAACTTTCTTATACCGAACACTTTGTCGTTTTGTTCTTCGCTCCCGTCCCTATATCGATCAATGAGTAAAGGATCATGGATCGATGCATTCACATTGGTGGGCTTGACATTTCTTACAAGGTTTGTTGTGGTTGTAGGCACACCCTCCAGCTCTTCTTCGGTCCATATTTGCGGTGCCATGTTAAAGTCCGCCTCCCGGCACATCGCCATAAACTGAAAAGAAGAGAGAGAGAGAGAGAGAGGGGGAAAGACGCAATTTACGCATTCTACGAGGCTGACGCTTTTCCAACATTGACCATTGTAACAAACCAAAGAAAATATAAGAAATACCTTTCGGTTTCTGTCTTTATTGGCGACGTGAGCGATCGAAAGCGTCGCTGTGGTCGGCCCACCACAATTGGCCGAATGCTGACTATGACGTCAGCAAAGAATATCAAATCGGCGCAAATAAGAGGAATGTAAGAAGTTCAATTTTTACGGTGTGGGCAGTGTTACTTTGAGAGCGCTATGATTTCAGGCTTTCACCATGCTCATTAAAAACACTATTGAACTTGGTCTTCACAAGGTAGTGACGTCACGAAAGGTAACCAAACGAGGGCGCCACCGAAACATCTCGCCGCTAATAGTAGTTTGCCCTCGTTTTCGCGCCCTAAATTTCGTAAAAAAAAATTTAATAAAAATTGAAGGAAAAATAATTTGCCGGTATAATTGCTATAATGTGCTCCTTTGAGGGGCCGCGCAACAATATTCGCTTGAAATGTTTTTCATTCTACAGGATCTTACTGGCGGGACCCCAGTACACTCGTACGCAATGCCACTGACCAAGAAACTCCTTCGTTGCGGTGTCATTTTCAAGCACAAAACCAAGGAGGTTATATTAAGACTTCTGGAGCGGACGTGGCGCCCCGTAGCTGACGCCGAAAACGCCGACCGTCGCCATCTTACTCGGGGCAGAAAACGGATCGACTCGGTCTGCGGCGTGTGATTTTTGCTTTGAATTGTTGTAATGTGCGGCCTTTCATTGAAGGCAAGTCTTTTTGAAACAACTGCGGCCGTTCCGGAAGTCGATATTGGGCTCTTGCGTCGCTTTCGGCTGCGTAAATCGCGTGAATACGGCAGGAATTACTTTTGATGTGTAAGTATATGCAGCAAGCATGTTGCAATGAATCTCGCTTGCTCGCTCTAGCTTAGTACTGCTTGTGAGCAGGCTTACCGGAGAAAGGTCTATGATTATGTGCATTTGTACGGCAAAATAGAGTCTTATGTTCGCAAGTCGCAGGTTTCCCCGATGACAACACTCGGCGTGCTGTTGGGCGGAAACTTGGGGAAGGGGGCGGGGGGGGGGGGGGGGGGGGGTTGTTTTGTGTTTGGTGCACTTCGAAGATGTATGCTTTGAAACAAGCGGTCAAACGAGACGACTTCGACCGGGTAGCATTCCAACTGTGTTTCCTGCATTTCTAGCATACCTGCGGAAAGTGAACGCTTATTTTGCATTTTAGTTAGTTGCATCTTGAACTCGAGACGGTGCGCTTACCCGTGCAACTGCGAAACAAGTACTACAAGCGACTTTATTTTCGGAAGCTTGATATTTTTCTAATTTCTCAAAGTGCCGGTTTCGGGTATAGTTCACGTGCACGAATTTTCGCGGAACCATGGGAAGGATTATTCGCGGAACCAATTTGCGGAATTTACGTGTTTTTTTTTTTTTTTTGTAAATACTGCGAATAAATACACAGGATAAAAAAAAATGAAAGACGTGAGTTCATGTTTATACAACCCTATTAAAAAAAAGAAACATCTTTTGCTTCTTCCATTCGGCCTAGAAGCATCTGTAATATTTCAGAGGTAACTCCAAAGTTATAATAAGATATCAGAGAAAAAGGAATCCAACGTTTCTTAAGCGGCATTCGAGTCCTTTAAAAAAAGTAATTGTTCTGTTTTTCTTGTAATACGCAGCCCCAAAAGCAACAGAGCTCTGCCAGCGCCGCCTCTTTTTCGCCCTGAGTAAGGTGGCCGCCGAACGGTAAATCTGACTTCACCCGTTCGCATTGGAGAGTGTGGAAGGCCACCAGTCTAGAAGTGTTACAATTTCTTGACGTAAGCGAGCGTATTCTTTCAATCTCTCCTTCGCACAATAATTATGGCGTAGGTGGGGGTGGCAGCATCCCCCAGTGGCGCTATTTGAATGCGGCTCATAGATTGGACCCGAGCATTGCGTGAGTACTCGATTTATGCTCGTGATAATCAATATCTCGACAAACATTCAGGTAGGACCCGTGTCCAATCGCTGCAATGACGACAATGTCCGAACCATAACAATGTCTGGAACTCAGCGTGTGTCATGTGCTTTGCCAACCCCAGCGCGTGGCTATGATTAACATTGGCGGCATATACTTGTCTCCAGATCACGTGGCCCCTTGTTCTAGCTGCGAGTTGAGGCAGTGAACGCTGCTCGTTTGTCTTAATATTTTTTTCTGCGACTTTATTGCGTGTGGCGAAAAACGAACACGTGTTTCGTAGGTCATTAACTTCAGGGATTCGTTATAGGAAATAATTACGGAAAGCACACAATTGTTGCGTCACCCGTTTAAAACTATACTGCAATGAAAGGTGCGTGTTTCGTTCTTTGTCTAAACATGCTCTGTGCAGTAAATTACATTGGAACATCTTGCAAAAAAAACAATATTATTGAGAACAAGAAGGGAAACTAACACATTTAAAAAAATTACATCATCTTCCCGAGGAGAACCATAGGGTTATGCGGAGCATCGCGGATCGTTATTAACGGTGTTATTAACGGTGTTAGTAACGTTGTTAGTAACGTTGTTAGTAACGTTGTTAACTTGCGTATTATTACGTTGTTAACTTGCGTTGGTTACCACACATCGCGTGAACGTTGTTGGAAACTCCGCGATGCTCCGCATCACCCCATGATTCCCCTCGGGAAGATGGTGTAATTTTTTTAATTGCGTAGACTAAGGTGAAACGGTTAACGGAGGTCTTTATTGAGTAGCGTCTAGTACTTGAGGTGTGCACTTTGCTTTGATGAGGATGGCTTTGTGGTCGCTGAAGTGAACCGTGAGGAGATCTTGGTGCAGTGGGTGTATCTTGAAATTGGTGAAGACGGGATCAATGGATGTGCCGTGAATGGTAGTTGGCTGTTGTTTGCAGTCGTCGTACGATACGTGTTGCAGCTAGTGGTGTGATGACATGTACTCATCCAATGGCTCTTCATGACGTTGACATTAAAGTTTCCAATGTGCATGAAAGGATGCACTCTAAGAAAAAAGGGAGGAGAAAGGTAGCAAAAGCGACTGTTCCTCCTTGTTGCGGACAAGTTGCCCAGAGAAGGGAGGAACGGCAGTTCAGATGAAAGGAGGAGGGCGAGTTCCTCCTTGTTCAGTTGGCGCAGGGGTAGAACACCGCGCTACTGACCAAGTGGTCAAAGGTTCGATCCCCAGAAAAGTTGGTTTTATTTTTTTTTTTGTAAAGTTTTTTATTTTTTTTTTTATTTTTTGTTTATTAAAACACAGATAAACAAACCCAGACCGATGAAAGGAAAATTAAAGTCCTTATTATTCTCCGAGACGTTTTCTTCCTCCAGGCAGACCGGAGAAAGCTTTCGCCACTTTCGCCCTCCCGACCCATCTTCTTTCGGTTTCGTTTTTCGAGCACATCGCGTACGTTGTTTAATAAATTAATGTTCAGTTCATTGAGCTTCAGCGGCAGCTAAGGCCGCCTGTAATTCCGTCTTCTAGTCCAAACGTGCAGAACATTTCGGTTGCATGGACGTTTTTACCACTAATTTTATCAAACGAGCTAACGAAGCCGCTAGAAACAGCGAAGTTCCGGAGCAGTGCCAGCAGCGCTACATACACTGGGTAAGACGGCCATCTCCAATTTGCGAGACACACGCGGAACTACAGCAGCGAAACCACGAGGAACTGTGTCGACGTTTTCGACGTTATGGAAATCGCGGGAACTGCGTCCAAGGAAGGCAGGTTTTCCTGCCGGCTGCCTGGGTGCCTTCCGTGCTGAGTTCGGTTCCGTTGTCCCGTGCCGAGTGCCAACCGGCGTTCAACGTGATTCTTCTGCGTGTCAGCAACATCGTCAACGTGGTTCTGTATTTCTTCGTGTCAGCGACATCGTGATGGCAGTGTTGTGGGTTGTGAACAGAAGACTGGAATTATCGCCGATGTGACCGTGTGTTCGTGTATCAGTGCTGTAACAACAAGATGAGATGACGTAAACTGTCGGGCATTGATGCCGCTGGTCGGGCCGTTATCGGAGGGGCCGGGGTGTCGCAGGATGACATTCCGCTTTACATTAAAGAGTTTAAAACCACTTGAGGGATTAGGTGCAGTCGATCGACGTGTGGATAGTCATGTTGGAACGCTGGTCTGAACGGTAAGCTCCTATCGTACAGTGGCCAATGTGACTGTCGGTCCCCGAGAGCGATTGCTCTCTGGGGAAAAGACAACACTACGAAAGTATGACGGAAAGTACGTATATTTATAATGGAAGTTTAGCATACAAAAAAAAACAGGCAAAATCGAAAAAAGAAAAAAAAAAAAACGCTATCCTTTATTTTACTGTTTAAATATATTACGGTTCCTGTAGAAACTGTCCTCTAAGTGCTGGGATGAGCGCTAGAAGTTTTCGAACTCGCAACGGCGCAGCTCGCAAGTCGCGGCTTTGACTGCATTCAAGTTGATCGAAAAGCGATTTCTGTGCCCGTAAAGCATCACTTCCAGCTGAGTGGATATCCGCTCTACAGAGATTAATTCAAGACGGCAATTGCAGCTTTGCGCGAACAGCACAAATAGAAAAACGAACACTACAATATAAATACTGGCTACGAAGGGCCATGCGGGAAAACAAATTCATGGCTTGGAACCACATTGGAGCGGCTCGATTTATTGGCTTTCAAATAATTATGGCATGATCGAGCGTCTTCTTTTTAATAAGAGATTCATCCCCTGAGCCATTAAAAATAGCCTCAGATATATGACATTGCTGAAAAAAAATGAACATGTTCGGAATATTTTTTTTGCTTAGGGAGTCACCGAAAAATTCTGTACGTTCAAAACGACCACTATAAAAGACGGAAACGCAGGGCTCGGTAGTAGTGATCGGGGTAGTGTGCTGTTGTATTCATGTTTGTATGTGCGATGCCTGTGAATGCGTTCAATATATGATGACCTGATGTTTGT